CCAAATTATCAAGATCTCTCATATTTTGCAGAAAGTTTCCTTCATAAATATCCCACGCCGTTTGTTTCTACAGCTTTCAAAGTTTTCAATATACTTGCATTATTCTAATTATGTCATTTTGAATCCTTCTTTGACATTTTCTGAACAAATCCAAATCTTATCATTTTGGTGTTATCTTCTCTGACTGAAATGTCAGATGTGGATTTAGCTATCACATAAATGTAACCCGTAAATCAGTGATGTTTAAACTTCAGAGTTCAAGTCAAGTCAACCCAGAAAATATTTGAAATAAAATAAGTATATGAATTTACTTGATTTTTGTTAGAAAACGTAAAATTTATGTTTTTAAGAGTCGGAAACTACAGAATTCTGGCACTACCCTAGAATATTGATTTATATTATACCGCTTGATCACACACAAAAATCTTAGATGGATTAGGTGTAGTTCTGCCAAAACATAATCTATCACACATCATACATTAATTTGAAAGTTTGTAGACTATAAAGTTTTGCATCTTTTTAACTGACAAAGTTTTTATACATATTCGGGGGCAAAAACAGACTCTTGCGCAACTCCAAACATCATCTTTCTGCGTTTTGGCTTTTCGAAAGGGAAGTAATTTGGCAACCTATTTGTGAAATAGCTGCTAATTTAATCTACTTTAGATAGTCTGGTGTGGAACAACAATGAAGAGAGATTTTTTTCCAGCATGCAGGGTTGAAAACATTTCTTTTAATTTAGTCTCTTTTGGTATTAAAATAGCTTATCCAATGGAAGAGCGATAATATTGGTCTACAGTGGTTTTGTTGCCCTAGATATAAGATTGATTTTGGATATATTTGTGCTCACAATTCATGAAACTATCAATGATTTTGTAAGACTTGCTCTCGTTTTTTTTAAATCTTTATTTTCATTTTACATTACAAAAATCGGAACACAAAAAACAAAATAACAGATATATTTATAATGTTTTGAAAAATTAGGGTACATTGAAGTATGTATATTTCCATAAAACACCTTTTATGAGACCTTTTATTAATCTCTATTCACCAGAGTACCAATGAAAGATGCCGTGGATGGTCTTCGTCAGAAACTCATCCCGGAGGGTTTGCCCAAGTATGTCCCAGGACTAGTGGAGTACTGCCTATCGTCGACATATTTCAGCTGGAAGGGGGAATTCTACGAGCAATGCAAAGGGGCAGCCATGGGATCACCTCTGTCTCCTGTGATAGCCAATTTTTACATGGACATGTTTGAAGAGGAAGCGTTAAAGAAGAGTCCTTGGAAACCGAAGGATCGTCAATGACACTTTCGGGATCTGGTAACATGGAAAAGAGCAACTCCAAGAATTTCTAGACCACCTCAATTCACAGCACACCATGATAAAATTTACCATGGAAACAGAAACTGCAAAACAGTTGCCATTCCTGGATGTGTTAGTCACTAGGAAGACAGATGAGGACATGGAACTGGGAATATATCAAAACAAGACGTATACGAATAGGTATCTGCAGGCTTCATCCCACCACCACCCACAACAGAAGAGGTCCGTGATTCAAGCATTGTTCCAGCGAGCAGAGAGGATATGCGATAAAGAGAACCTAAGAAAAGAAGAAAGATTCCTAGAAGATGTGCTGCAGAAGAACGGCTATATGAGAGAGATATCCGACGAGCCACCAAACCACGCTAACAGAAGGATGACTCGGTAAGTACGACACCAGCCGGTTTTATCTGCCTTCCTTATGTTTCAGGTGTGACGGAGCGAATTGCGAGAAGCCTGAAGAAGAATGATATAAGAGCAACCTTGAATATTTTGGTTATAAATAAAAAAAGTGAATTGTTTTCTCATGTTGTTTTATTTATCACAATCAAAAAATCAAATCTGCGTTTTTAAATCAAATGTTCAAATTGTCCTCCATTGACTTCCATACAATAATAAATTCTCTCAAACTAAAAAATAAAAAAAAATCAAAACATTTCCATATGTTGCCTTCATTGTTTGTTCTTAAAAGGTGTTTACTTCTGGTTATAATACGTTTAAATCAATCTGTTGAGTTACTACTTTGCTGATTTGTTTAAAATTTTAAAAATAATTATGGTGTACACATTGCAAGAACGTGTTGAGCTGGTTAGCCTCTATTACCAAAATCAAAATTGTGCCCGAGCGACTGCAAGGATATTTAACCAAAACCATCCTGAACGTGGTGTTCGCCATAAGTACGTAATGGAATTGATTTCAAAATTTGTTGAGACGGGTTCAGTAATGGATAAAAAAAGGGCACCCATTGGAATTGTGAATGATGAAGGAGCAGCGGTGGCGGTCTTGGGACATGTCCAACTTATGCCAAACACGCAATCTGTACGACAACTTTCTGCAGCTTCCGGTATTAGCCAATCTAACGTTTTTAGAATTTTACATAAACACAAGTTCCATCCGTACAAAATTAAATTAATTCACGAATTAAATGATGATGATTTGGATCGAAGGCAAGAGTTTTGCGAAATTATGGCCGAGCTTATCAACAATAACCCAAATTTCTTGTACAACGTTTGCTTTTCTGATGAATGCACTTTTTCACTTAATGGAGAGGTTAACCGGCATAACTGTATAATTTGGAGCGATACAAATCCTCATGTATTTCGAGAAGCTCACACTCAACATCCGGAAAAGCTAAACGTTTGGGTAGGAATTTTGGGAGATCACATAATTGGATCTCTGTTTATTCCTGGTAATTTAAATGGCGAAATTTATCTTGAAATGCTGGAAAATGTAATTGATCCGTTAATAACAGAAAAATTAGAAAACGATCCTCTACTACTTGAACAACAATTGCATTTCCAACAAGACGGAGCTCCTCCTCACTACGCCGCACCAGTTCGCCAATACCTCAATTTGCAATACCCCGGTCGTTGGATTGGAAGAAGAGGTCCTATAGAGTGGCCTCCCCGTTCTCCTGACCTGAACCGTCTGGACTTCTTCTTGTAGGGACATCTTAAGTCCAAGATTTTTTGTGACTCAGCCTGAAAATTTGGACGAACTACGCCAACGAATTGTAAATGAGTGTCGTCACATAACTCCAATTATGCTGAACCATGTTAGAGACGGTTTTCAGTCAAGATTGTATTATTGTATGGAAGTCAATGGAGGACAATTTGAACATTTGATTTAAAAACGCAGATTTGATTTTTTGATTGTGATAAATAAAACAACATGATAAAACAATTCAATTTTTTTATTTATAACCAAAATATTCAAGGTTGCTCATTTGAGCTAAAAAATTGATTTTTGGTGAAAACGGTTCATTCGTATGAGATGGAACATCCTGTATGTATACTTGTTATATGTAAGTATGCTTTTTATTGTGTATTTTAAGTTTTAACTTTTGAAAATTTTTTTTTGCGCTTATAATCGGCTTGATTTCATTTCAATTATTTTATTTTTCAATTTTTGTCTTATTATTTTGCTGAGGGTCATTGAAAAAGAGTGCGACAAAGGGGCCTTGATCACTTGGTCAACCTGACATGACCCTCTTTAATCGGAACTGCCTTTTTATAATTTTATTATTATTTTTTCTATTGTACATATGTCTTATCCGATTAATAAACATTATTATTATTATTATAATTGTTCAAAATATAAGATATGTAAAAATCATAAAAAACAAGAGCACATTCAGTACCTTCATGAATATATTCGTAATCTGGGTACTTGAAAACACAAATTTGCAAAGATATCCACAAAAAAAATTTTGTTGTTGTAAAGCTGTGTAATCTTTATAGCTTTGAAGCTCACAAATACTTACACTTAGTTGTTTTATATCTTTAATTTAAAGATTGTCATCGCTTAATGAGTTGCCTTAAATAACTGATTACAATTTTTTCATAAAAAATTAAAGCTAACGTTTTTACAAACTACTTGTAAGTCGTCGAGTGGCATCTGTCCTCGCAAAAGAGATGGAGAAGAGTATAAGAAAACCGTCAGAAGGCCCAATTAGCGGTAATTACGGCTTACAGCGAGCTTGGCACCGGGCGCATATATTTATTATATTATAAAGCCGCGCCAAAGCACCTCATTCGTTTTCATTCATCTTCGCCGACGACCACGTCGCATTATTAATACCCGACGTGTGCGCCAAATTCATTAAACGCCGACCCCTTTTTTGACTGATAGAGCAGCTGCCCACGATTATCGCCTTCAAGTTAAAAAAAAAATAACAATAATTTCGCCTTATATAAAATTCGTAATTGAATTGTTTATCGGACGAAAACATGTCGGTTTTATAATATTTCCTACATCATCATTCAACAATCATTTCCGGCCATTAAGATGAGAGGAAGTGTACGAGAGGAAGATTACCCTTGAAAATCCGGGAAACTTGGTCTATTAAAGTATTATTGAACCCCCTTATGTTGTTGTTGGTTGTTGGGTGGTTAATGAAACGAGAAAACCATGAATGGTCACGGCTATTACTTTACAATGAAAACGGCACGCGTCGTGTCACCCCTATTTTACTATTGCACCAACAGCGCATTTAGTTTCTCATTTAACTACAATAGAAATGAAAAGAAAAGAGAAGCAGAAATACAAGTAGGAGGAAAAAGTTCATCGATGAGAGACGAATGTTTGGTGAAATGGAGAGGATATTAACTAACTCGTAGGGATGGGGTCAAGAGAGTTCGGAAACGGATAGGGCCCCCGAGTATAAATTATGGACGTTCGTTATAGAAGGTGGGTTGCTGTTGGGGTGGAGCGACGGCAACGAACTCGCTGGGACCTGCAACAGCTGGGACCCCAGGTGAAAATAATGAAATCAACCGGGCGAAACAATGAACACAAGGCGTTTTCTGCAGCGCTATCTGTTCAACCCCCTGGTTTTTTCTCCTCGTTTCCTATCTGGCTGCGCACGATTAGACAAGCCAAAAAGATTTTTCTATTCTTTACTAATTGAGATGTCAACATGTACACTTAATTAAATAGAAGAAAATTAAAAATAATTACCTTGGAAGTAGCTTTTGGTGCGTAAATAACTAACTGACAGCCTCAAAATGGACAATCTATCCAATTTCGATAAAATGTTCTGTTCGAATGGTAACAAACTGGCCAACGTATCCAATTCAGCGTTGAGTCGTTCTCTGTGCCTTTTACTCGGATTGCTTTTCGTGACACCATCCTTTGGAGTAGGCTTTAAACTGCAAGAAAATAACAAGAAAGAAAAGTAGTACAAAAAAAAACCTCTTTTAAAGAGAGTTGTTCGCGTTTTAAAACGTACACGCGATTATCGCCTTTGAAGTAGTTAATGGGCAAAGTCTATTTCCTCGAATAAGAAATTCGTTTCTATTTTCAATTCATTTTATTTATTTTTTCTGTTTTCCTTTTGGTCTATTTTGTTTTTTTTATTTGTTTGGTCGCGGACGAAAAGTGGAAATTAATTATCTCCGCGATATTTACGACTTTGGGGGGCCATTAGCATCCGGTCGTGTCTGGGCGATTAATCACCCGAAGAAAGGAAAAGTAATTGTTTATTCGGTGTGCGAAAAGAAAACCTCTTAAATTGGAAAAGTCGCTCTCTTACGTAAAGAAAATTAATTATTTTTTTACGTTTCACCGGTTTGGATAATGTTTCTAAAAACTAATTGGCTACGGGACAATAGAAAACGAAAATGATATGTCATTTCGGTCGGTCGACTAAATTACTCGATAACTTTTTGAATTGACATGTTTTCAAGGACAAAAATATAATTGAATTTACGTTTATTTTAAGAATTAATTCATTTTCACGGTAAGTTAATATTTTAATAATTAAATTACAGTAAATTACTCTCCTGATGATGAATATAATATTAGAAACCGGTATCGAGATAATTTTAATTTAAATCATTGGTATCGTGCTTAGATTACTTTTGCCTTGTGAGCTGGTGCAATCTTTTTGTAAGGTTTAAGCTGCGAGGTCACATGAGCCTTAAAATTGCTGATAATTTGGCAACGTAGTGGTATTCGTTTGGAATACCTTGAAAACAAAGCAAGTTTGTTTTGAGTACATTTCAAAGTTATCAACATTTTTCATATTTTTGCAGAAAGTTTCCTTCATAACTTCTTTTCTTGCTGATTGGTTCAAAAAGGAAAACTCTAAAATCATGTCACTAAAATTAAGTATGTCTAGATATCCCATGTCGTATGTTTTTACAGCTTTCAGAGTTTTCAATATACTTGCATTCTTCTAATTGTGTCATTTTGAATCCTTCTTTGACACTTTCTGGGCAAATCCAAGTCTCACCATTTTGGTGTTATCTTCTCTGCCTTTTAATGTAAATGTCTAACGTGGGATTTAGCTATCAGATATGTATACAACAATCTACCGCCGAATAACAAATAAAACTAGACTAATACTAGCACGAAAATTAATACTAGACCTAGAACTAGGAACATTCCGTTTAGCCGTACCTCTCTTAAGACGGCTGGTAGGTAGCGCTAATTAGCATAAAATATCACTATGTTGCATATTTTTATTAAACTAAAACGACGGCTGTAGTTCTAGTTTTACACTAGCACTATCACTGGAACTAACACAAGACCTAGAACTAAGCCGTCTTGAGAGACGTGCGGCTAAATCCGAATGTTTCTAGTTCTTGGTCTAATGTTAGTTCTAGTGACAGTGCAAGTGTAAAATTAGAACTAACACTATACCTAGAACTAGAATCATTCGGGTTTAGCCGTCTTTAGAGACGTGTGGCTAAACCCAAATGATTCTAGTTCTAAATATAGTGTTAGTTCTACATAGTAATATAATTCATTCGGATTTAGCCGTCTTGGGAGACATTCGGCTAAATCCGAATGTTTCTAGTTCTTAGTCTAATGTTAGTTCTAGTAACAGTATAAGTGTAAAACTAGAACTAACACTATACCTACAACTGGAATCATTCGGGTTTAGCCGTTTTTAGAGACGTACGGCTAAACACAAATGATTCTAGTTCTAGGTATAGTGTTAGTTCTACATAGTAATAATTCATTCGGGTTTAGCCGTCTTGAGAGACGTTCGGCTAAATCCGAATATTTCTAGTTCTTGGTCTAATGTTAGTTCTAGTGACAGTTCAAGTGTAAAACTAGAACTAACACTATACCTAGAACTAGAATCATTCGGGTTTAGCCGTCTTTAGAGACGGGCGGCTAAACCCAAATGATTCTAGTTTTAGGCATAGTGTTAGTTCTACATAGTAATAGTACTAGTGTAAAACTAGAACTAACACTAGAGCTAGAACTAGAATCATTCGGGTTTAGCCGTCTTTAGAGACATGCGGCTAAACCCAAATGATTCTAGTTCTAGCTCTAGTGTTAGTTCTAGTATTAATTGTTATTCGCTAGATTCTTGTATATTTTTACTGAAGTACATAAATGTAACCGGTAATTCAGTGATGTCTGAAACTTCAGAGTTCAAGACAAGTCAACCCAGAAAATAGTTGAAATAAAATACCTGAATTTATTTGATTTTTATTAGAAAACGTAGATTTTCTCAAGAATCAGAAATTACAGCGTTCTAGAACTACCCTAGAACTACCGCTTGTTCATAGCTAAAAATCTTAGATGGATGAAAAGAAAAATACAATGATTTGAAATTCTAGGAACATTATATCAGCTGCTTCATAGGTTCCTCTTTCTATTTCCCATGACTTTCTGCATATTCAGAGTCTGATATTGCACACAATGGTGGTAAGAAAAATCAGCTTAAGTGACCACAAATACATTTTATACCAGCCAACACAAAGCATCAACAACCCAACCCAACTAAATCCAACACAACCCAATCCAACCCAAGTTCTATTACAATCTGATTACTGAAGGAGCTTTTCTCCTAATCTAATTATAAATACAAGAGAGGTCATATACCACTTATTATAATCTTGTCAAATTAACTCCAAACTGGAATTTCAACTTGCCGCGCTAGTTGGAATCATAATGAGATTGCCGAATCATGCAATTTGGTTGGACACGGGGATATAATGGATAGCTTAATATTTTGTGCACTATTGCAGTTAAATGTTTCAAATTTACACAAAAGATAGCTCTACTGACATGCTTTATAGTGTACATTCTTATTTGGGTAAGTTACTATACTGATGTCCTTTTTATTCCATATCAAAGTTACAGTTATTGCTAACCTCAAAGTCTTTTTACGAATTTTTATTTTATCAGAGGCAACATGGGGATAGATTTAGACAGCTGTTCAAAGTATCCCCATACGCTGCAATTTTGCACAAAGGCAAATATTTACCAAAGATTACGAAACTAAACTTGTGGAATACTTGTTGCAATGTAGTAACATGTTTCATGGTTTAGCACTGCTAGCCGCAAGACGAGTAGCATTTTAATATGCTCAAAAAAATTCTTTTAAATGCCCGAGATATGGGCTATAAATAAAATGGCGGATGAAGATTGGTTTCCAGGGTTTATGAAGATCATTATCTATTAGAACTCCTGAGGCTACAAGATTAGTTAGGATGATTAGCTTCAATCCAGAAAATGTGAAAATATTTTTTGATAAATTAGAAGTTATTTCCAGATATGGATTTTCATCATTTGAAATTTACAATCTGGATGAGGTTGGTTCTAGTTTTAAGAAACAAACTTTTCACCACGGTTCAGAAAATAATCGGCAGAAAAGGTGAGCATCAAATAGGTTACTGGTCACCTCAAAAGAACGTGGCGAACTAATAACCCAAGTGAGAATAATCAGTGCAAAGCTCTACCACCTGTATGGATCTTTCCTAAATAAAGATTTGACCAAAAAAGAATGAGAGTGATACATAAGTCAGGTTGGTTGACCAGTGACAATTTTATTAAAGTATTAGAAAATGTTGTTAAACACACTCGTTGTTCCATAGAAAAGGAAGTGCTCCTTATAGTGGATAACCATAAATCCCATTTGTCAGTTGAAGCACTTGATTACAATAAGACCAATGGTTTCTTACAGCCACATACTTCAAATCAATTACAACTCCTGGATCGCACAGTATTCAGATCATTTAAAACGTTTTTAATCAGGGTGCAAATTCTTGGATGTTATCCCATCCAGGTTAAATTCTAACACTTTATGATCTCCCAGTAATCTGCTGTATGGCATGAGATCGAGCAGAAACTCCCACAAATATAAAATCTGGTTTCAAATGCACCGGTATTTCATCTTCTAAAAACTGATGAACAAAACAAGAATGATGAAAATCTTTCAGCAACAAGCTCAACACCTTCAACCAGTACAACATCGCAAGCTACAACATTTGTCTCCCCTGAAGATATTCGTCCATTTTCCCAAAGCAGGTGAAAGAAAAACCATAAGACGTGGACCTCAAAAAAGGAAAAGTATTATCGCCACTGACATGCCCGAAAAAAATGAAATAGCTAATAGAAAAGAGAAGAAGTTGCGTAAGATATTAAAACCAAAAGTCGAAGAGGCAAAAATGCGAATTGTTGATAATGAGGTGCCAAGGAAGAAAGATTTTGAAAAAGATAAAGCAACGGGGAAAGTTTTAGATGATAAATTCTTCAAATGAATCTGAGGACGATAGAGAAATCATTGACGTGGGTAATTTTATCATCCTTTTATTTTCCTATATCGGCAAATGATAGATCATCGAATCCATCTCCACCAAATTGTATGTGCCAGCGTTGGGATGTCAGTAAAAGCAGCGTTATTATGGATGACAGGATCATGATCTTTGCTTTTGATATCTACATTCTGGTCAAATATTTTTCCAACATGATTGATGGTTTTAAGTCAGCTAACGGTAACACAACTTGATTAATGCAGTCCATAATAGAGAAAAATTTCCACATATCAATGACTGTAAAATCCTCATTATGGTCTAGTTTGTCTAACACATATTGGAATGAACTAGATCCCATGGTCTAGTGGTTGTATTAAGGATGTAGTGTTCGGAAGAAAGCAAAATTACACATTTGGGTGCTCCAAGAACTTTAAATTCTAGACATTTTGCATTTATTTAGCGTCTAACTTCTGGGATGAAGTATTTCTGGAACGATTTTGTAAAGATTCCACTGGTCATCCAGGCCTTTTTGTTTGCTATCCAGTTAATTGGCGATTTATTGAAATCTACGCCTTGTATCGAGCGTGGTCTTAAAGCACGATTTACTACTTTATTATTAGCAGTGGTTTTAACATATCTTTTCCTGAAGCATT